TGTGCACCTGTAATCCCAGCTACTCAGGAGGCTGAGGCAGGAGAATTGCTTGAATTCAGGAGACAGAGGTTGCAGTGAGCAGAGATTGTGCCATTGCACTCCAGCCAGGGTGACAAGAGCAAAACTCTGTCTCAAAAAAATAATAAAGAAATAAAGGTAAAGATCCCCATCTCCCTTGCTGTTTCCTGGGCATGACCTGTTTCCTCCATTCCTGGAGGCCCTGGACACCTCCCGAAGGCCTGTGCTGCTCTGACTGGCGTCTGTACATCCGGCACCTTTACACCTCCCTCCCCAGGCTTGAGAACCAAGAGGGTGGATGTGGAAATGGCAGTCTGAGGGCAAGAGAAAATATGTCCAGCTCCAGTAGTGACGTGGGGAAAAGGGAAGTGAATTCTCCTTCCCCAGCCTTTGTTTCACTCAGGCCTTCAGTGGATTGGGTGATGCCTGTCACACTGGGGAGGACCATGTGCCTTGCCCACTGCCTCACATGCTAAATGCACCTGGAAATGCCCAGCCAGGATGGTCGACATAAAATTAACCACCACAGGACCATGGGGGTTGATGAACAATCTCTGAGCTCGCTAGAGAGAAACCTCTAGCAAACAAAGAGGAGGCACCGATACTCCAATTGCAATTCGCTTGCTCAAGTATTGTCCGCAGCTCACGCTTCACCTGGGGCCATTGCTCAGCTTATTGCATAAGATCTTTTAAAAGGCAGCCACTGTTGCGTGGCCACTCAGTCAACAAGCCTAGAGACCACCCAGCAGGCCGTGTGTGTGGCCTTTGTGCTCAGCCAGGGCTTGCCCATGCACTGGCCATGCACCACACCTGGTGTGGGAGGGGGTTTCTCCCATCAGCCCTGCCAAGTAAAGCCTTTGTTATTGCCTGTGGTCAGGACTGGCAAATCACTCACAAGAGCCAGACTCAATTGTGACACTGTGTGACATGTGGCATCACAAATAGCCAAAACCAGGGACACATACCGAAGACACATTATGCCGCTATGTAACATGTGCAATTGTGAAAGTAGACAAAATGTAAACGCTGTTGGGACCTCCTAGACACTTTGGGCCTTGAGAGAGCTGTGACTGGTCTGAGCCGTGTAGCGATAGATGCAACTTCAGCCTCCTAGATCATAAAGTGTCCCTTCCTCATTGTCCACATTCTGACCAGGAGAAAACAGAGACCAGGCCTCCCCTTCTAGTTGCTGATCTGGGTCATAGATTAACTGTGTCCTTTATTGTCCTGTACCTAACTCAGACTAGATGGTGTAAAAGACCCCACACCTTTTACATCTTCATCGTGGAAGGTTAAATATGCCTTTCTCAAAAAGAATACTGCGTTGATGAATCAGATTACTGTAACTGTGTGCTAGCCTTGTGGGGAGTATGTTGAAACCCTGCTAAGCTTCCCAAACCTTATATATGTAAACAAGCCCCAAATCTTCTCCACTTTGGAGCACTGAATTGCACTCTTTGGAATCAGTGTTTCTGATGGCTGTTGACAAGGTTTGTGCTCAAACTCCCCATTTAACCATATTCCCTGAAACTTGTTATTTAAGGTTGACAATATCATATGGCAGCCAGGAGATGGCCTGCAGATGTGAGTCACACGTCACTGGATGACTCATTTTTATTTTTTTATTTTTGAGACAGGGTCTGGCTTTGTTGCCCAGGTTGGAGTGCAGTAGCACAATCTTGGCTCACTGCAGCCTCTGCTTCCTGGGCTCAAGCCATCCTCTCACCTCAGCCACCTGAGTAGCTGGGAATGCAGACACACACCACCACACCTGGCTAATTTTTGTGTTTTTAGTAGAGACAGGTTTTCACCATGTTGCTCAGGCTGGTCTCAAACTCCAGAGCTCAAGCAATTTACCTACCTCAGACTCCCGAAGTGTGAAGATTACAGGCATGAGCCACCATGATTGGCCCACTGTATGTCTTATGATATTATATGTGACATTGTGACATTATGTGAGCATGTGAGTCAGGGATGTACCCTGTTCTCAGCTGCTGTATGCTATGATACACTGGCAGAATGCGATGAGAAATGTCTCCCACTCTCTCAGCTGTTGTATTATATTATACAAGGTGCAGTGACTAAGTGTGTCTGCTCTGTGTCCTCATCCTACATAGCCTTTGTTAGTGTGTGACAGAAGAGGCAGGGTGCAGGCCTGAGAAACATTAACCCTTAGGCAATAAGGGTGCCATGCATCAGCTGAGAGGGCAGGTAGACCTCAGTCACATATGTCACTGTGTAACTAAAAAATAAAATTAGCTGGGTGAGGTGGTGCACACCTGTGGTCCCAGCTACTCAGGAGGCTGAGGCAGGAGAATCACTTGAACCCAGGAGATGGAAGTTGTGGTGAGCTGAGATTGCACCACTGCACTCCAGCCTGGGGGACAGAGTGAGACACTGTCTCAAAAAATAAAATAAAATAAAATAATGTAGGACAACCAAGAGAGGGACTCAGGCTCACCTTACTCTATGTCACATATGATATAGAACACTTCAGGGGGGCACATACTTGTCACTTTGTATCATGATGTCATATATGATAGCCAATGATAAGGGGGAGGCCGCCCTGTTCACACCATGTCACTACATCACTTATAGACATCAAGGAGCCCAGACCTCAGTTGCATTATGTCACTATGGCACATACAATGTCATCCAACAACTGATAGAAGGGTTGCAGGCCTGATTCACAGTGCATGTGAGTCACAGATGTCACGACGTGATACAGCAGGTGAGAGGGGATAGTCATTACTCACCTTGGGTCACATTGTCACGTGATATCGTATGATAGAGGAGGATGCAGAACTGAGTTGCATTATGTCACTATTGTAACGTGATCGGTGATGGCTGATGGGGGTGAAGACCAAGGTCACATTTTGTACCTACATTAGATGAAATACACAACAGGCATGAGGGAGATGCAGACACAAATCACACTGTGTGCTGTGTCCCACATATGTGTTTGATTTCAGTGTTTAAGAGAGCTGCGTTACGGTGGCTCACGCCTGTAATCCTAGCACTTTGGGAGGTTGAGGTGGGTGGATCACCTGAGGTCAAGAGTTCAAGACCAGCCTGGCCATCGTGGTGAAACCCCATCTTAAAAAATAATAATAAAATAAAAAAAAAGAGAGCTGGGTTCATGAATGAACACATTATGTTAACTGTATGAGCCACTGTGTTTAGCATCGTATAGTGTGTGTGGTGCATTGTTCATTGATACGTATTTGCTCTGTATTGAAGTGAGGTAGATGTATGAGTGATTGAGAATAATGCTACCTTGTGAAGCATTGCATTTAGAAACATGAGGTTCATGTGCTATCATCTTCTGTGATACATATTTAAATGTTAAGTTTAGCAGGTTTAACATGAGTGAATGAGCCTCGCATTATCTCTGAGAATCAATGTGTTTAGCAGGGTGTGGTTCATCTAATATAGTCTTCTTTAATACATATTCAGTATCTGTGTTTATTAGAAATAGGTTTGTGAGTGACAGCATAGCGATTTCCCTATGAAATCCTGTTTTAAGAAGTGTATGGTGCAGGTGTATTAAATGTAAATGTATTGATGAGCCAGATAAAAATACATTTCCTTAAAATAAAGTTACTTGTGTGTTAAATGTAAAAGGGTGCTAAAAAGACATTACGCAAACATTTACCTGCAGAAAGCTCTTGTGGTTATCTTGCTATTAGACCAATTAGTTTTAATAAAAATTATTGACATCAGGAAATGTGGGACATTGTATGTGTGTAAAATGAAATATTCAACAAGTACACATAACAATTATACAATACACATCAGTCCAGGAGTGGTGGCTGATGTTTGTAGTCCTAACACTTTGGGAGGCCAAGGTGGGTGGATTGCTTGAGCTTAGGAGTTCTAGACCAGCCTGGACATCACGGCAAAACTTCACTCTAAAAAGTAGAAAAAAAAATTTAGCCAGGTGTGGTGGCATGTGCCTGTAGTACCAGATACTTGAGAATCTGAGGTAGGAGGATCCCTTGAGCCTGGGAGATGGAGGCTGCAGTGGGCCAAGACAGTGCCACTGCACTCCAGCCAGGGTGACAGAGTGAAATCCTGTCCCCCAAAAAAGTCACACTTTTATTAACTGAGTGAATCAGCAGAAAAAAATTGCACATCAAAATATGTGACCAACCTGATTATCCAAATAGACTGACTGACACCAGGGGCCCAAATCTGAAGAGGAGTTGGCTAATAAATATGTTATTAAAATGACTGAATAAGTGGATGAAGAAATAAATGAGGCATTCATTATTTCTACCTGATATGAGGCTTCTCCTCTCTGTTCTGTGAGCAGGGTCGCTCCTGTGTCTATTTCTAGTCCTGTTCTGATCCTGTCCTCTCTCTCCCCAAGACTGAGCTGCATCTTCAGGGTGGCTTCCATACCCCCATTAGCAAGTGACTGACATGAGAAACCCTGCCTTCCAGTGCTGCTGTTCTCATCATGCTCTGGTTTGAATGTCTCCCTTCCAAAATGCATAGATTTGGATCGCTAATGTGATAGTACTAAGAGGTGGGCCTTGACAAGGTGATATAGTCTTGAGTATGGAGACCACATGATTGCGATCAGGGCCCTTCTACAAAAGCTGGAGAAACAGTGTGCTCTCTCTTCTTTCCACCATCTGCCATGTGAGGACACAGAAAGAAGACATTTCTCAGATGCCAGAGCCTTGATCCTGAACTTCCCAGCCTCAAAACCTGGGAGAAGATGAAGATCTGTTCTCTAGAAACCACCCTGTCTGGGATTTTGGTGGAGCTGCACGAAGTGGACTAAAATGTGCCTGTTTCCTACTTGATTTTACAAAAAGAAGCCAAAATGAATTTGCTTCTCTTCATATTGTTCTCTCACTCTCTCTCATCTTGCAATAACAGCAAATGAAGACAAAAACCACCCAATCAACCCAGCTGCAACCATCAGCCTCATCCCCATGCCTCCTTCACTTTTTGTCAAAGGCCACAGTCACCCATGGATTCCTTCTCAGCCTCATCCAGATCCCACAGGACAGCCCTCAGCTCCCCTGACACATCCTCACCTGCTCTGCTGCCTTCAGGCTCTTTGTTGAAAGTGGAACCAAAGATGTCTCTATAAAGCGTCCATTTCATCCATCCTGTCTCCTGTTTATACCTCTAACAAGCCCAGACAATTAACCAATCCATTCTCTATGGAAGGAGCTGCTCAGGCCTTTGCTTCCAGAGCCCCCTGCATTCTCCCCTCACTGCAGCCTCCTCACATTAAATGGTCCTCATTTTCCCTACATGCCCTTCTTTTAGTAACTCAGAAATCCTCATGGAAAAGCTATTTATCAATATCAGTAACTCAAGACAGTGTGAGTGTGTGATCCATAGATGCTGTGGATCGACTGGGGCCAGGCTCTCAGGGGACTCCACTCACATAATTTCCGCTGAGAGACTGTAATCTAACCAGTGAGGAGCAGGGGGCACTGTGGGTGTACCTCAGGGTCTGCACTGAGGGAATCCACAGCTGTGCCACCCCCGGAAACCCCGCAGGGCAGTGTACTCCTGCCCACAGAACTGTGGAATGTCCCAGCAGCTGCTTCCTCCTGACCCTTCCTATGGGGCCAACTCTGAGTCTCACATGTTAGTCCTCTCTGTACCAAGAACCAAGGTCAGATGGCAGCTGCTTCTCAGGGTGGGCCTGAGATCACCAGGGGGAGAAACAAAGGTGTGGGCACAGCCCCTCCCCTGTCAGGCCCATGAAGAAGATTAAAGCAGCCTCAGGTGAGAGTTGGGGCTGGCGTGTCAGCTGTGCCCACCATGGCATGGATATCTCTTCTCCGTGTGCTTCTCTCCCACTGCACAGGTGAGGACAGCTTTCTAGGACCTGGGGCAGCCTCCAGCCTGTGTCAGCCATCTCTGGCTTTGAACCCCAGGGAGTTTAACACTTAGCTCCACCAACAATGTGTCTGTGTTTGCAGGGTCCCTCTCCAGCCTGTGCTGACTCATCTTCCCTCTCTGCATCCCTGGGAGCATCTGCCAGACTCACCTCACCCTGAGCAGTGATGTCAATGTCGGTGGAAAAGTTGAATACTGGTGCCAGCAGAAGCCAGGAAGCAGTCCCCGGTATCTCCTGAGCTGTGCTCCTCAGAGTCAAATATAGCAGCAGGGCTCCGAAGTTTCCAGCTGCCTTTCCAGATCCAAAGATGCCTCAACTAGCTCAGACATTCTGCACATTTTTGGGCTGCAGCCTGAGGATGAGGCTATTACTGTGAACTAAAGCATGATGGCACTGATGTTTACACAGTGCTCCAGACCCTCAGGGAAGCAAGAAAAAAAACCTCTCCCCGCACTCCCAACCTGGTCCATTCACCTGCTGGTGGCTCTGATGAAGCCTAGGTCAGGAAGTGACTGTTGTTGTTCCATCTTCAACCAACACCTAATTTTCTTCAAACCAGTAAATCTCAAAATGTAACTTTTTATTCAGTTCAACTTTTACATTGCCAACATATACTTTATCATCATGTTTTCAGAGACAAAAATTATTTGATTAGAGATTTAAAAATTGACTGGGAGCAGTGGTACTACCCTCCTGCAGTACCCATTGAATTCTTTCCTTTCCTGGTAGGACCTTTACCAAGCCTGAGCCCTGCACCTCCCATTGCCTTGGGAACTGTGGGTGAGAGACAAGACACTGTGCCTCAGTTTCCTCACTTGTAAAAGGAGACATCACCTTCCTAGAGAGTTGTCTAAATGTTAGATTTGTAGACAATGCCTGGCACATCAGAGGCACTAAGTGACAACTGGGTGTCATGATTGTCACCAGTGCTGCTTCTGTGCTCACCTTTCTCATGGAGAGGAGGCCTAACAACGTCTTGTTTCCTCCTGTAGGCAGGGGCCAGCAGGTCCAGGATGAGATCCTGGAGCTCCTTCTCTTCATACAGCTTCCACACCAGCAAGGGGATAGACCTTTGCTGATGCCATTGGCCCTGCAGGAAAGGAAAGGATGCTGAGGGAGGGTCGGCCATACACCCACCCATGCCGGTTTGTCTTCAGGTCTCATGGAGGGTTTTTCAGAGCAGGTGGTGGCTTTGACAAGAGGATCCTCAAGTGTCCCTCGGCTCCCCAGCCAGAGGCCTGAGCAGCCAGCAGGAGACTGCCAGTGACAGTCATGTCAGAGGCTGAGAACGGAGGAGCAGAGGACCTGGGAAGGACCAGCTTTTGGTCACCAGTGTCTCAGGAGTCAACTGCCATAGCAGGCATACTCTGAGAGGCAGTGGCCACCCCTGGGAAAGTCAGGAACTCATCTGTGTTGGGCCCAGGCACACGAGGAGATTCTCCATTCTTCCCTACCCTGCCCCTGAGTGTGGGAGCCAGTCAAGCCCCTTTCCCACCCGAAGTATTTCAAAGCCACTGGACAACCCAGACTGGTCTGGCTGGCCCTAGGGAAGGGCTTGGAGTCAGCTCTGAGGCAGAAGACTTAACGTGTAGGCCAGTGTCTTATACACCAAAAAGAGCTGTGTCACTAAAGGTGATGGGAAGCCATAGGCTCTGGCCAAGGTGTCTTGAAGACACTTGGGGTCCCATGGGAAAGAGGGCTCCACATTGCACAGTTAAAATGCAGGTACTAGGAGAGGCACAGTGAGGCATGGCTCCTTCATAAACAGGCCCCACCTTGTTCCTCCCCGCTGAAGCTGCAAGCCTGGGTGGAAAGAGTCCAGCCCAGCCTGCAGAGCCTGTGGGGCAGTAAAGGGTGAGATATTCCAGGAAATGTGGGAGTCCTGCAGGGGAGATAAGCCAGAGGGGCGAGGAGGAAGCTTATCCCCTAGAGGGGCCTGGGTAGACACTGGCTTTAATTAAGGAGTTGATATTTTGTCCACCGTGGACTTCATTTGAATTAACTTTATTTTATTTTAGGTTTTGGAGTACATGTGAAGAACATGTAAGATTGTTGCATAGATACACACATGGCAGTGTGGTTTGCTGCCTTCCTCCCCATCACCTATATCTGGCATTCTTCCCATGTTATCCCTCCCCAACTCCCACCCCCGCTGTGCCTCCCCTAGTTCCCCCCCAACAGACCCCAGTGTGTGAGGATAGACTGGACAGGGAAAATGTGGCACATATACACCATGGAATGCTATGCAGACATAAAAAACAATGAGTCAGTTTTTTTTGTAGGGACATGGATGAACCTGTTATTCTCAGCAAACTGACACAAGAACAGAAATTCAAACACCACGTTATCACACATAGGCAGGTGTTGAACAATGAGAACACATGGACATAGAGAGGGGAGCATCACACATGGGGTCTGTGGGGGGGAACTAGGGGAGGGACAGAAGGGGGTGGGGAGATGGGGAGGGATAACATGGGGAGAAATGCCAGATATAGGTGATGGGGAGGAAGGCAGCAAACCACATTGCCATGTATGTATCTATGCAATAATCTTGCATGTTTTTCATATGTACCCCAAAACCTAAAATGCAATAAAATTATTTTAAAAAAGCAAAAAGAAATTTCGCTGTTTCCAAGGAAAAGACAAGGAAAAACAGCTGAAGCACAGGGTTTTGTCAACAGCAGAACAATGAGTGCATGCAAGGTGGAGCAAGACATTGTAAATTTTTTTAAAAAACCTTGAAAATGCACAATAGAAAGAGTAATCCATAATGTCAACTAACATATATGGTTAATAATGTGTAAACATTGATTCATTAACCATAAATGCACTATTCCAATATGTCAATTACAGGGGAAGTGGAGGAAAAGGCCACGTGCTAACTTCAGTATCTGTTCTATTTTTTTGTTAATGTAAAATTTATCCAAATAATAATATCTATTAATTAAAGAGTCATTTGACAACACTATTTTAGGGGCAGATCTATTGCAGCAAATGTTTAATAATCAGGAGCTTCAGATGTGTTTTGCTATTAAATGTCAACCAAAGCTGAGCTGTGAATGTATCTTTATGCAGTTGAAACACTAATGACAGAATAGTAAATTAAAATTTTCTAACATGAATAACAATATGGCTCAGCATTTTTATTATTTTAAATATTCAACTTTGGAACAAACCTGCAATCGTTATTCTTGAATCAACATAAGAGCTTAGTATCCACAGTGCCGTCAGCTCACCGTCTGCTGGTGCACCTGTGCTTGGTCGGGGGCCCTTTCTTGACTTGCTGCTGGTCTAGGCTGTATAGATTCTTGAAGGAGGAAAATGCTTTTCTTCTCAAATTCATCAGCTAAGATCCTGGGAAATGTACATGCAGTAAAGAGAGCTGCTGACATCTTGTTGGCAGAAGAGCAGAGGAAATGGACCATAATTGATGCAGAGCTCAAACAGTGGATCCCACTGCACAGACTCCCTGACAGCCTCTGAGCCAATGCTGGGCTTTCGGAAGATTTTGGGTTTTCATGTGCACTTGAAACACCTAAGAGAAAGGTTGTGTGGAAAATGCCTTTATGGAGATGAGATGGTCCAGAAAGGCAGCTTAGCAGAGTGACTGAGCATGGGGGCTGGGGCCTGAGGGCTTGGGCTCAGTCCCACTTAGAGCCACGAGAACCGGGGAACATCCTGCAACCCCTCAGCCTCCGGTTCTCTGCACTGCCATCTAAACACTTTAATAGGGCTGACTGGTTAGCATGATGAGGCCGAAGATCATTGAACAGAGCTAAAGCTTTAGAAAAAGTGGCTGATTCTTCAATGCTCCATGACCCCTCCATCATTAAATGCCTGAGCGAAGAAGCTACACACTTGATACTGGGTGACCAGAGAGGGGACATGGATGCTCCAGGGCAGGGGAGGGTGGAGGTTGGCTTTTCTTCATTTGCCTGTGTGGGAGGCTTTACAGCGCATGGACAGTACACGCGATCATCTCCTATGATCCCCACATCAGCCCTGAGGGTGGGCAGAGGAGGAGCTGTGGCCTGCGCTTCACAGTTGGAAGAAATTCTTTTAAAGGCAGTCATGCCACTCTCCAATCACCACACTGCTGTGTGATGCACCTGGGGCAGAAATGTAACTGAGGCCTTGGGGCCAGAGATGTCTTCACACTTGAGACTTCCAGATCATGCTCTAGACCCCCCAAAACATGAACTCCCCTGACTCTCAAGACATCCTGGCCCACGGTTTCTGTGGGAGGGCGGATGTCCTGGAATACGTGCCTGAGCCCAGAAAAGAGCTTGGATACAAGACCCAGCCTCTGTCTCTCCCTTTCCATCCCAGACCCCAAACAGGATGTGGTTTATCTCAAATGAAGCCCCTTGGAAGGATGAGAGTGATTCAAAACAGGGCAATCCTCTCATAGCAGCATTATAGTCAGCTGCCATGGGCTACACGTTTCTAATCATCAGTTGGCTACAAGGGACCCCTGCAGCCAACTGACCCCTAACTGTATTAGAAAGCAACATTCTAAACTGTCACAAGACTGCTTAGCTTCCTTCCACTTGGCCAACTCTGAGTGAGCAGTTAATGCCCTTTAACTGATAAGGGGCACCTGGGCTGGAGTGTCAGTGGTTTGAGGACTTCAGTTTATAAAGCTTCCCACCTGACTTAATATTGATCTGAGCCACTGTCTGTGCAGCTGGACTAAGGCCTGGTTGAGGATGGGCAGTGGCTGCACCAGCATACAGTGGACCTTTCTTCCTGTTCATTTCTTCCAAACCAAAGGTCAGTGTCTTCAGACTCCTATTTCATCCTGAGCCCTGCAGGGACAATGCAGAGTCCCTTCTCCTCTTAGAGGGAACTCCCCACAGCTATGGCCTGGAGACCCCACCCCAGGACTGTCCCTGAGGACCACCCAGGCCCTTCTTCCCTCTGTCACCAAATGTCCATTCCTTTAAACTGATGGCTCTGTCTCTTCTCACCACTCTCCCCAGCAGCATCCTAAACAGTAGGGATTTGGTCCTCATCCCACCACATTTATATCCACATTAAAACCCCAGCTTTTCCGTTATAAAACCAAAATGTGGCACATATGCACCATGGAATACTGTGCAGCCACAAAAAAAAGAGTGAGTTCATGTCCTTTGCAGGGACATAGATAAAGCTGGAAGCCGTCATCCTCACCAAACTAACACAGGAACAGATAACCAAAAACCGCATGTTCTCACTTTTAAGTAGGAGTTGAATAAGAACACATGGACAAAGAGAGGGGAACATCACACATTGGGGCCTGTCAGGGGTAGGGGGCAAGGGGAGGGAGAGCATTAGGACAAATACTTAATGCATGTGGGGCTTAAAACCTAGATGATGGGTTGATAGGTGCAGCAAACCACCATGGCACATGTGTACCTGTGTAACTAACCTGCACATTCTGCACATGTATCCCAAACTTAAAGTAAAATTAAAAAAACAAACCTCGGAATCAAGATTGCTAATGTACTGTGTGGTACTTTGGCAACAGTATTCGAAAGAGTTTGACTTTTAATTCACCTTTCTTGTCATGTATTTTACAGAATTTGCTATCATGATTATCCCAGTTAAAAGAGAGCAGTGTGAGCGTGTTCTTGTACATAGAAAATTGAAGTTACTTCTATTTAAAATATAGTTAAACTCACAGGGAGACAATAAGGATGGACGTTTGCATGATGGAAAGATATTACTTGCATTAGTTTTTAGGTGATGGTTGTTTTACCTGTGGCACAGTGCACACATATGACATGCGCAGATGGCTGCCTTCTTACAGACACTGACTTACCACCACACAGATGTAAATCCCCTGGCAGTCCCTCTGCAGCTAATTTCCGGGCAGTAACCCCAGGACATACCTACCCTGATCATGATCAACACATTTTAAATTTATTTTTAAACATCATATAAATGCAAACCTACAGTATGTACTCTTTTGT